TTTTAATAAATTCAATCATGAAATGACACATGAAATACGCGAAAACCGGCGCATTTTAAACGGCTTCATTTACTCTTTCAATTGACATATAGTGAGGGTCCAAACAAGCATATACGTTTTTATTTTTCACATATGTATATTTTTATTTTTTTTCATGTATAAAAGTCCAGGCTTTTTTCGGCCCTCAATGTACAACCCAAGAAATTAGTCTAATTGCATGTTACTGCTATGTCTGATATCGACGCCAATTCAACATTGTTTATCGTCCAGGCACTGATGCACACCGATCTTTGGCGATGTCAGTCATGTAAGCATCACCGATGTCAATCATTATTTTTTGCGATACCGTCTCGAATGTTTTTTGTAGCGACATACCTATTTGTATCTAATATTTGTATACACTGTACTGATAATGTTTTAACTATTATAGTTCTAACAATTCCAGTTTTTGATTTGAAAAATTCTCGTAACTACACAGCTTTAAAAGAGGGTGATTTATTCGTTTTAATGATGATTTTTCGTTTCCAACCTTCCATCCATCAGCTCTTTTACATATTTGGGATGACCTTTCAATATTCTTATTTTTGTATTGAGCACTTTTTACTTTTTGATTTCATTTAACTTAATTCTTGGCGGAATTCGTACAATGGATGAACAACCAAAATTCTTTATTCAGAGTTATGCGAAGCATAGCGAGTTTTTGAAACTATTGGTACAACAGGTATAGTCCTGAAATATTAGAGGACATGAGATCAAGGCAGTTTCGAAAGAAAGAAGAATTGGAATCGGAAATCCGCTCGCCGTTCCAGTGAACGGTAGAATTTGACGATAGAGTCCGTGAAGAGGCCGATGTGCATTACCCATCAGAAGTTAGGAATGCTGAGGAAAGAATCGTCTATGCCTACATATAAATCACGAGCGGGAGAGGTCCTTCCCAGCTTGACGATTTTACTCATCAATCAAGAATTGGAAAAAACTGTTCATATGATCGACCTCACCTTTGATCCTGGAGGCGACGAAAGGATGAAATATCAAAGTGGGAATATGTAACAGTGCTGCTTTTTAATTTGAAAAACTTTCGTGACTATGCAGTTTTAAAAGTGAAGTTTGTTTAGTCGATATAGTAATAAACTGAAACATATTTACACTGTTTACTTAAATTAAAAACGCGGTGTATCTAACCTGATATAAGAAGTTTTCGAATTTTCAATAATCTGCGGAGATATGAAACATTCTCCAGATGTTCAAATTGATATTTGACTCTATGTCTTATAGTATAATTTACTTTTCTCAAATTGATTTAACTTACCAAGATAATCGAAATAAAATAATCGTAGATGATCGTTTAAATTTCGTGAATGAAACAAATGTGCTTGAGCAGAACACAATAACATCATACATGCTCCAATACCATTGTAAATAGCATAACTGATAACGAATGGTGAAGATGTTGATAAAATATGATTAAATGTTTGTACAGTAATAATGAATGCTCCCACAAGATGAATCCAAACAGAAAGAGTTTCATTATGCAATGAGAATAGACTACGATAGTAATAGGAATATGGTTGATTTGGTAAACGAAAACCAGATTGAATATAAGGTTCAACATAGATATCTAAGACATCACTATATTGTAAATAAGTCATTGTCAAATCATATCAAAAAAACACTAAAATAAAACAGAAACTCTAATATTTTAAGAAATAAAATTGAAAATTAATATAATAATTACGAAATAAAACTTTGATTAAACTCGTCTACTAATAGTTTTATTTTAAACGAATTTTAAAAAAATTAATTTTCATATTTATAGTGTCATTTTCCTAGAAAAACATAAATAAATTTGATGACTTTGTTTTTAATGGTGTCCTCTCGATTCATCCCTAATTGACTTTGTAAGATCAAACAACATAAAAAGAGTATACTAAAGGTGAGAGTAAGTAATTAGAGACAAATCAAGACTAAACCATTTTTAAGATAACGAAGAATTATACTTATGTTCATTCTCTTTGACAATTAAACTAATTTTTTTAGACTCAATAATTCTATCAAATGTCAGAAGTGTGTACATAATTGATGAGTGAGACACTCGATAAATCTAAAAGAAAAAAGTGATAAAGACGCGAGTCATTTTTATCTACTACTATAATAATATATATATATATATGTTAATTTTTCTCTTTTTCTGTGATCAATTATATATTAAAGACAATTTCCTTTTTTTTTTATTGTCTATCTCTTTAATTACATCAGATTTTTCAACTAAACGTAAAGAATCATAAAAACTAGAAGAGGTATTTATCCTAATAATTGATGAAAATTTTCTTTTTTACTATTGAAAATATTTGAATATTTCGTTCTTTTTTGTCTAATAAAAAGGCATACAAAAAATAATTGAATTTCATTGAACTACTTCTAGAAGAAACTTCTCTAACATTTCCCTCTCCTCCCTCTCTTCTTTGAAATAAGCTTTTCCATAGAACGCTTTTTTTATATACTCGTTCATACCAATATATTTATATTTTACAGATGATGTCTGTCTATTTTATTCTACATTATTATGGAACAAACATAAAGGAGAAGAACACATCATCATTTTTTTATTTATATAACCTGTAGACATTTTCGATATATGGTGTGTCTGGTTTCTTCTATTTTTTTGTACGAGAGAAAATAAAAACAACAAACCATACTGTTACTTCTCAAATGAAGAAGGCAGACAACGGATTATTGATAATGTGTAGATATCATACCATTGGCAGCATAGATAGATAGATAGATAGATAGATAATGAGAGAATCTCGATCCGACCAAATCTTATTTTTGTATGTTATTGCTTTTAAACAAGACAGCAAAAGAAAACGAACGAAAAAAGGAAAAAAAAAAAAAGGAATGTTTAACTAAATACAAGAATATATTCATGAGGTCACAAATGAAATCAAGCGTTGTGATTGACAACAAAATATTGACTACGTGACTTTGAGTAACAGAAACATGCTAAATACAGAGAAGAAACTATCAATACAGTAAGGTGTTTATATATTCTATGAAATTAAACAAATGTTACCGAATATTTTATTCTTTCTATCTTTTATATTAAGCACCATTTGTAAAGTATGATTAAATGAATATAGATAAAAATTTATAACACGAATACCTACCTATTCATATGAATTAACATTTTATATTTAAAATGATATTTCTACTCGTGCATTAATATTTCTCAACTTAAATATCAGTACGTTTTATTCAAGCAAGATTTAACAATTTGCACACATGTAATATTGTATTCTGTTGTATGTTAACTAATTGGATTAGAAATAATCTTTCAATTTTGAACTCGTTTCATGTAGTTGACAAAGATTAAGAAAAATAATAGATGAAAAATATTTTTTAGTATCCGAAGTTTTTGTATTTTCTAATTGAGGTATGTGCACAATTTTTATTTTCTTATCATAATTTTTTAGAAATTGGAGTCTAGAGATTTATTGAACATCTTACTTGTTTGTTTCTTTATTGAATTTTTTTTCTCATTTTACTTGACAAATTGAATAATGCTTGAAATATAAAATGTTTTTATTAAATTTTCTATTGCTGTATCGTCTAAATCATTTTGTTTTTCAATAGATACTAAATGATCCATCCATCTAAAACTTTTTGTTTTTTTGCTTTATTTTTAGTTGTCTTTTTCCAAAATGAGATTTTAGTTAATAATGATGGGAAATACAGAATTATTGATATGAATAAGAATAATAAAGACAAAAAAAAGGTCAACTTACACACATCTACGCTGTGAAGAAAAAAATGTGTAACTGAAAAGCACGGTTTCTGTTTCCTACGCTTCTTTTATAGAGCAATTTCATACATTGAGGAATACTTCTAACACTTAAGCTCCACGCTTTCACAAGAGACCTTTTTTTTCGAAAAGTATTCTGTTATAAATCAATTTTTGAAAAATGTTCTTCTGCTGCCTATTTTTAAAAGTGTTTAGCGGAAAAACCGTTCCTAAGAAGCATGGTTTTGGATACACTTTTTGTGTAGAGTGTAGAGTAAGCTTAAATTTCTAAAACAACTTATATAGTTTATCTATTTCTTCTGTTTGTGTGATGCCTGTTCATCAGGATATAATGAGATGGTAGAAAAAGGGAAGAAAAGAAAAGAAGAATAAAAAAAACATGATCAATTCTATTAGATTCTTAATAATAATTCATACTGTACTGCCAAGTTCCAAGAGACCTAGAAAAAAAAACTTGCATGCAAAGAAGCAAAATAATAATAAAATGAATGAGGAGTAAAGAAAGAAAAATGAATATATTGAGTTTTGTTTGACAACAATTCATCAAATGAGTTAAATAAAGAGAATAAAGTATATCAATACAAAATAATGAAAATATAATGTTATTTTCCTCAAATCTATATACATTATTTTTCTGTCGTATAACTGTATCAACGACTATCTCATCAACAAATTTTGTCATTTTCAAACGAATGATCGAACAAAGTTTACTATCTAATAGTTCAAAATTTATTACACCATCATTATTTATTACTAAAATAAATAAGTTCGTTTTGCTTTTGTGCAATTCATATATGTACTGGATCTCCGAACAACAAGACGTATTTTCAATTCCTAGTATTTCAAAATAGTTTATAAAGATTTATTTTTTTTAATATCTTTCTATGACTATGAAAAACATATCAGAACAGTATAAAACATCCGAGTACACACTGGTTTTGCGACATATAATGGCATGGAGAAAAGATTTGAACTTAAAACATTCTATAGTATTTAAATAAATAATTTAAAATTTTCTTCGTTTCCTAAATTTTGAAATAACGCGCGGTACATGTACTTTTTATTAATGGTTGGTTATTTGTAATATTAATGCTGTTTCTTCACACATTTTAGAGAACTAAATATTTGAGCAAAAACAACAAATCGTTATATCAATGTCAATTGCTGTTGTTGTTTTTTTCTACTCTATTATAGTATATTTTTATTATAAATTTAATTAATGTCTTTTCGAAATATTAATCCTTTTTGCGCTACTACTATTATTACAATTATCATTCGAGCTTGACTATGTTTTCTAGAATGAAAGAAAATCGATAGAGTAAAATTGTTCATTATATTTGCAACAGATCAGCGATAGTTTTTGAAACGAGTTTAATTTGTGTAGATACAGACTCTAATCTTACAACTGATATGTTATTCAGAAATTTCTAATTCAATGTCATAAAATGAGTTTTCATTCTCAGAAATACAAACAACAATTTCTACATCTTCTCTGAATATTACAATAAATACTGATAGTGAAGCTAGTAATTAATTTTGTTCTTTCTGCATTTCGAAAAATGATGCTGATCCTCAATTATTCGTTTAAATTAGAAGCATTTATTCTATTAATATACAAAAATTAAGAGTCCATTTATATTTCTAATGCTTTTTTCGACGGTGATAGCTAAAACAAGTTTGAAGTGATTTGAGCGGCTGTTAGAGTGAGATGGTTTTATCCATGTGCGTTCATAATTTAATGCACGTTCTTTTTCAGACATCGATTCACTATTATTTATTACAAACCCATAAAATAAAACAAGAAAAAAGAACTACATGCACATATATAGATATATATATGGGATGATACTGACGGCACAAAAAAAAGTATGATTGCACTTCAAAAAAAAAAGACATACAAACATAGTAGTAACTGACTAAACAAATAAGATGAACATTATTCTAACACTGATCATTTTCTACATGCTTAACCTTCACTTTTTGAATCCAAGGAGACATAAGATTTATTTGTTTCTGTTTTCTTTTTTGCTTTTTGAGTTTGTGCCGAACAGAAAAAAATATCAGATTGAGAAGAATTTTTATATGTATCTCTTCCGGAACATTCTCAATAAGTATATCACAGTATACGAACATCTATCTTGAAATAGAGAAAAGGTTGTGCACCAGTCACACAACCGTACGAAACTACCTTTAGTAAATTTTAGCCTGTCGACAGGCTAAGATCAACAAACAAAAACGCACTAAACTAGCGCACGTAACAAGAATCATTTTTTTCTCATTTTCTTTTCTGCTTGTGCATACATTTGTTTTGTTGTCGATTTTCAATCACCCAGATAATAAATTCATCAATAATTTCATTTTCGCCCATAGTGAATTGGTGTCACTTTTTCATTTAGTAAATTACCGCCAAATTCAAACTTGATTTTTGACGTTCAGTTTTCAAATCTTGAGAATATTTTTGAAACAATAACGAAAATGGAGATAAGGGTGAGACAACTGGTGATGATGATTCAGGACGATGAGTTTTGATGTTGAAGAACCGACGGCTTTAACTAAAACAAGTATAGAATAAATTAATGCATATAAGACGTTGAAGGACTGTTTATCTTTGTTCTATTTATTCGCTTTAATTTGTGTACTAATTGACTCCAAAACCTCCGAGAGAGTGTTAGCTATATATAAGTACAATAAGACGAGTGGGATTTTGATATGTTTGAAAGAAAATTAAGTTCTTCAATAAAAATATCTTTTATCCAGCTTTCTATTTCCACTGGCGCTCATACCATATTATTCAACATAGAATCTCATATTTCAATAAAGAAATCATGACAAACATTAAGTATAACGTCAAAAATTGAATCAAACAAGCAGTTCTAAAACCAGACAACTACAATTTATCACATCACAATATTACAAGGTCTTCAAAAAAAACCTAATAGGGAAAGTTCCTCAAAATCTCCACCCAATTATCATTCCATATAAATGAAATGCTTCCTTAAATTATTGATACATTATACAAATTTAAGTCAATAGCAAGTAAAAATTTGCAAGCTCAGTAAAAATATATAATCCTCAGCACATATTGTCTACTAAGAGAGGGCAAGTAGGTTCATCATAGCTTGTCAAATTCGATCTTGTTCATAGAAAAATAGAAAAGAAGGTCGGAAATTAGAAAAGTGAGAAGCTTTGTATTAAATGCGATGATTGTCGATCTTATCTGCTACTAGATAAGACTAAGCAGCAATAGCAATGTAAACTGTTCTGAGGGTGACTAAAGATTAAACAGTTGACTAGACAAGATGATGCGCTTCACGATGATGTTTCCTTACCTGTTTTTTCTTCACTATTAATTGCACTTTTATTTGCCTCATCATTATTCGAAACTGACTCAGTTTCTCAAGAGAAAATTCATTAAGCTTATAAAATGCAACAAGATGCAATATGTCATTTGTGTCATCCTTTCGTTTTTCTCTTATTGTATGCTCGACTGCGTCTAACAACTCTTAGTACTACAACTAGAATCATCATAACTTGTAAAACTGGTTGTGATGTATTTTAGTACTTTACTCTATCTTCAATTGAACGAGAAAGGAGGAGCAAAAAGAAGCTAGTTAACTTACATATGCCGTTGTATCTCGTATAACTGTTACTTCATCTTTATCACCGAATCTCATTCTGTTCATGTGTTGTCCATGTCCAAGAATTTGAGCAGCTGTTGTCTCATCAATGAAATTCTCAATTGATAAATTTTTTAAACACAAAATGTTTTCTGAATTCATTATTGTCGTGAGAAGAGAAAGAAATTTAATCAATCACCATCATTCTCAAATTCTTTGTTTATAGTTGTTCGTTTTGTCAATTTTATTTTACGTTTCAATGGTTCTGCGTTAATGAATGGTTGATCAACTAACACTGATAATAAGTCTAAATCAAATTTTGTATCAATTTTTTCACAGCGGCAACAGCAGATGGATGATACAAGTGCTGCTGTGAAAGTTTGTTCATTATTGAATACAGGTTTCTGGTTATTTCTAAAATATAGAGGCTATGTGTATTTTTAGTGAGACAAATGAGTAGTATTTTTTTAATACCAACCCTACCAAATTCAAAATAAGCTTTGCAGCTACGAAACGCGTACACTACTAGTCCCTGTTTGGGAATATGCATTCGACTCTAATGGCTATTATTTGCAAATATAAAAACGCAAACAAGCTAAATTCACTATTAAAACGTTACAGTTCATTATGCGAAATACTTTAACAGCCGAGTGAAATAAGCTTGACTAGTTTCCGGAAGAATACAATACATATACTCTCTATTTTATAATTCTTTACAGCCAATCACACTATTTGCTATCAGTTAAATGGTTTTACTT